CTGGCAAAATGCCAGGTGTTATTTTGACTTGGTTGCAGACTCTAACAGGCTACGATGTTAGAAGACAGGCTGTAATCTCAGGCCTTTACTGTCATCTGAGACTGAGGCCTGGGGCTTGAAGTTTGGAATGCAACACATGAAGGGTTTTTGTATTTTTTTAATGTAAATTTGATTATTTTATTGCTAATTTAAAAATAAATGACTTTCTAATGATTGCCACAGTCCGGCCGAAGCAAAATAACCCAACTTGTGTAGATTGATAGAGCAGGAGTAGGAGCCGTTTATTGTAGGACAGGAGTGGTATTTATACATTCCACACAGCTTATCTTAATTAGCATAAACTAGATACATCAGTCAACCAATAAGGAATCTCCACATTTAATGGCTCGCTTTTGTTACTTCTCAAACCACTCCCTCTGGCATTTTGCCAGGCACCATCCAGACTTGTTTACAGACTCTAACATTTCTCTGGCAAAATGCCAGGAGCCATCCTGACTTGTTTACAGACTCTAACAAATGATTGCAAAGAAAAAAAAAAAGATAATGACTGAAAATTTTCTGTAATAGATGAAAGACATGAATTCTCACATTCATGAAGCAGTTTAAATAAAACTTGGTGGAACAATATATTTTCTCTGCTTTTAAGATTTCCTCTTTGACTTTGGTGTTCTAAAGTATTTATGTGATGGGTCCAAGTGAAGAATTAGTTTTATTTAAACTGCTTTATGAATGTGAGAAGTCATGTCTTTCACCTATTACAGAAAATGTCCAGGCATTATCTTTGAATATAACCTCTGTTCTTTTAATTCATACCTTCTGGGATTCCTGTTAGGCTCACACAGGAGCTTCTCTTCTCTTTTGTATGTCCTTTATCTTTCTTGCTACATTCTGTGCAATCTCTCAGATCTAATGTGAGTTGGCTACTGTCTTATTATCTGTTTCTAAATAAGCATATCCACTGACTTTTACATTTCTATATGTATACTTTTTATTTATAAAAATCTTACTAATTATTTTTCAAATCTTTCTGTCCCTATTCCATATATCTGCTTATGTGTGCCCCAAAGTTCATTGTTGGAAACTTGATCCCTAGTACAACAGTGTTGGTAGGTGATTAGGTCTTGAGGGTGAAGCCCTCACAAATGGACTAAAATCTTCATCATGAGAATGTGTTTGTTATTGACAGAGTAGGTTTATTATAAAAATGACTTTGGCTCCCTCTTGTTCTCTCTCTACCTTTCTCTTACCATGTGATACCTTTCACCATATTATGAGGCAACACAAGGCCCTCCTCAGATGTCTGCCCCTTGATTTTGGATTTCCTGGTCTCCAGAACTGTAAGCTACATAAATCTGTTCATTTAAAGTTATCCAGACTCAGGTATTGTTATAGAAGCATAAAATGGACTAATATAGTACTTTATTCTTCTCTTAGAGTTTTGATCCCTTCATTTAGTCATTAATCGTTTCAACGTAGTAGTTAGTTTCCCTTCAGGATGTTGTTTTATTAGCTCAAATTATTGGAAGTCTAATCCTATTTGTTATTTGCTGCTCCTGGTCTATGGTGGACTCACTCCACATCCTCTGCCGCACCTTGCCCCAGTGCTGGGATTGAATTCATGAGTGCTTTAACACTGAGCTACAGCCCCAGTCCTTTTAATTTTTTGAGATAGGGCCTAAGTTGCCAAGTCTGGCCTCAAACCTGTAGTTCTCCTGCCTTAGTATCCCGAGTTCCTGGGGTTATAGGCATGTGCCACTGTGCCTAGCTCTATAGTGAATTTTTTACCTTTTTAAAACATTCGCCATTGTTAATGGGATAAAATTTTTGTGCCTGTGTCACTTGAGCATGATCTAGACTGAGTATGTTCACTTTTAGAGATTTTACACTTGGGCCCCCAAAACATTACTAATTTTTCAGTATGGATTCCCGGATTATGTGGTTGGTGCACATTGAAACCTAAAATGCCAACTACATAGGGTAGGGAAGTGGTTCCATCAAACCCAAGATTTCTAGATTTCTCTCCCACCCACAGATGTGAAACAAAGCCCAAGCCTGTACAGCTTATTGTCACTAGTTAAAATCATTGCACTGAAAATGTTTCTATAGGTCCTGAAAGACCTCATCACCACATTAAGTGACAATTCAATTAAATTTTCACACTCCTTGACATTTTTTTTTAAATCCTTTTTTAAAAATATTTATTTTTTAATTTTCGGCAGACACAACATCTTTATTTGTATGTGGTGCTGAGGATCGAACCCAGGCCGCACGCATGGCAGGTGAGCGCGCTACTGCTTGAGCCACATCCCCAGCCCTCCTTGACATTTTTTGACTGGAGATGAGATAGAACCCAGGGCTTCACACATGCTAGACAAGTGCTCTGACAGTTTTTTTGTTTTTGGGGGGTCAACCCTGAACTGCTGGCACCCCACCCTCAAACTCCTTTGCTTTCCTATCATATCCCTTAGTAGTCTATAAATTCAATAGGTATTTATTGTAAAACCTTCCTTATACCTACTTCCTTTTCTCTGCAGCAGCTCTTCTTTCTGAGTCCGTGTTATGGACTTAATGTTTGTGTTCCCCTTTCCCTTAAAAATCCTTATGTTGAACCCTAATTTACAAGAGAGTCTTTGGGAGGTGATGATTAGGTCATGAAGGTAAAGCCTTTGTAAAGGATCAATATCTTTATAAGGGAGACAGAAGAGCTTTCTCTCTGCTCTATTCCATATGAGGACACAGCAAGAAGATGGCCATATGCCAACCAAGGAGGACCTGAACTCAACCATGCTGGTAGCCTGATGATCTCAATACTTCCCAACTTCCAGAACTTTGAGAAACAAATTCCTTCTGTTTAAGCCATCCAGTCTATTCTATGGTATTTCCATTATAGCAGTCCAAACCAAGACAACCTGGTTTATAACTCATGCCTGAGTTACTATAATAACTTTTTAGCTGGTTTCCATGTGGGCTAAACTTCATGCTGTTGTTTTTGATTTTTTTTCCCCAGCTGATGCTGGGGGTTGAACCCAGGGGTGCTTTACTACTGAGCCACATCCACAGCCCCTTCTATTTTGACAAGTTCTCAGTAGGTAGTCCAGGTTGGCCTCAACTTGAACTTGCTATCCTCCTGCCTCAGGCTTCTGAGTGGCTGGGATTACAGGCATGTACCACCATGCCCAGCTGTTGTTTCTTCACATTTTTCATGTGTTTCTTTTATGAAAGTCATAGATTCCCATGCTTTCTAATCTAAATAGCTTTTCCAAACCCTGAATAATCCTGCCCTTTCTAGCTATGGAGATCCACTTCTTACTCCTAAAACACTTCTGTCTTCCCATTGTCCTGTGAACATAGAACATTTGTATATCCAAATTTTTGTCTCTAGATTTTATTTATTTATTTTTGGTACCAGGAATTGAACCTGGGGGCACTTAACCACTCAGCCACATCCCTAGCCCTTTTTTTTGTATTTTATTTAGAGACAGGGTCTCATTGAGTTGCTTAGGGCCTCGCTGAGTTGCTGAGGCTGGCTTTGAACTCAAGATCCTCTTGCCTCAGCCTCCTGAGCTGCTGGAATTACAGGCATGCACCACTGTGCCTGGCTTTAGGTTTGTTTTCTTTCTACCCAAATTTCATCCATAATTTGAGGTGAAGCCCAAATTTAATGGTTTATCTTCCT